ATCTCACATTTTGATGCATAGCTTTTTTTGCATCTTCTTGGCTGTTGCCGTGCTAAACATATTTTGAATAGATAAATACAATTATAATTAAATTTCAGTTTTGCGTACGTTATCTAATCCTCTTGGGAGTTCTGAATCCATGCCTTCTTTGGCAATTTTGCTCTCTTGTTTTTCCTACAAAGATAATATGAGCAGGAATATGAAAACGCTACGGAGAGGAACATACGTGATGCTTCTTTGTAGATTCGTCAACATTCCTTTCTGTTCCACCGTAACCAGCACTGGCATTCTGTAAAATTACAAGATTTAGGATCTGAAATTTCCCTGCCATGATTGTTTTCTTTACATAAGAACAAACAAAAAAATTCAGTATTTCTGAAAATTCCATTACTTTTCCGAAATTGGGAAGACTCGCCTCCTCCCTGTTGCTTTTATCCTGAACAGCACCTGACTGTGGAGGATTCTTGTGAGCATATCTACTTTCTAAACATGCTAATAATCTTCTGCTGGTCTGAAGTAATGTTGTGGATCTGTAGCTCATCTTCGGTACTGCTAGTTCTGAAAAATTGCATTTACGAATTTCAAGAAAATTCGATAACGTGTGCGAACTCGAAGAAAAGGAGACTCGCGATAACTTCTAGAAAATGAAAGCAGTCGGTACACACGCGAACGGTGGTGGTTCCAGAGGGACAGAACTTCTTCCGGAACAAAAAACAGGGTTAGCTATGTTTAAGATTAACCGGATACTTTCTGGGTTTCTAGCGGGCCTTTTTAATCCTAAAATTCAAACAAAATTGGCGAGGAGTAAGTTGCGAGCTAACAAAATTTGTGAAGCTGTTTTGTTTTTTCACAGATTCCATAAATTATTCAAAGCAAATCGCTCGCACACACATAATTTAGAAACCATTTGCCTATGAAAAATCTTGACGAAGTCTTTTCAATTGCATTCTACAAGCATGACAACCGAGGGGACAAGTGGGACAGTAATTTTGGATGGGGTAAAATTGAAGACTAGTTTTTACTTGTAAATTATTAGAGTATCTTCAAAATTCTTTATTTCATGTTACTTTTGCAAAAATTGTAGAAAAGCCTTTTTTTCCAGAATCTGGGCTTACTGGACACCCGAAAAAT